AGCGGAGAGGCAGGAGGGGGAGTGGGAGGGAGGGCTCGGGGGCAGGGGCAGTCCTCCTCCTCTTCTTCCTTCACCCCTTCGGAGTAGCTCGAGCTGGCAGCCTCCTTCTGGCACCTCCCTGCCCCCTCGCTGGCCCCTTGCGGGGCCAGCAGAGTGCACCAGGGTGTGCCTGTCGACTCTGCGGCGAGCACGGGTGCTCGGTCTCTCCTCTCAGATTTGTCGTTTTCCTGGGGCCCCAGCGCCCCGTCGGCCGGGGGCCCTTCTCCCGCTCCTTCGGATTCGGCTGGGGCAGTCGGACTCGGATTCCTCTCATCCTTTACATCCTGCCTCCATTTCGTATCTTCGACATCATTCATCTGTCGCGCTAGCAGGCGCGTCGCCAATTGGGGTGGGCTGGGCGTTTCGCCTAATATTCTCACCGTTTGCGATTGTGAAGCTTACAGCTTCCAACATTTGCACGGGTTGATGGCGGCATGTATTCAAATTGTGGCAATCGCTCTGGCGCCGCGCACAGTTATCAAAGCACACACGCACAAGTTGCACGAAAGAAAGGTGCTTTCTTTTTGATATGAGGCTCTCGCCTGAGCCTCCTGGGGTCTTGGGGTTCTCTTTGCCAAGACGTGTTGCATGTGTAAGAGATGCGAGGACGGAGGTCCGTTCCATCAACGCATGAGGCTCTTCCTTGAGATTCCCTTGGGCCGTAGAGCCAGACGCACAGGAGTTTCGCGACACGGACGCAGGGCGGCTCCTGTTCAACACGGGGCTCTCGCTTGAGACACCTCGACCTTGTTGGCCAGCATCGGCCGAAAGGGTGCAGGGCCGTTCCTCTTCCACGCGAGGCCGTCGCCGGACCCCGCCACAGCACGTATGCACAGGCATCCTCCAACGTGTTGCGCCTGGGCCTCGGGGGGGGGATGGCGCTGTACGGATCGCCACTGCGAGCCAGCAGCTTTGTACACCGCCGCCTTCCGGGAAGGCACCGGCCAGGTTCGTCGGAGGGCGTCATCGTGTATATGTCTTCGTGGCCACCTTCCCGAGGGCACCCTTGCATCCTTCCTTGCTCGGTCCATCCTTGGCCACTTGCGTTGGCCGCGCCCCGCCCGAAAATCTTCGAGAAATGGGCGTTCAAGGGGCCTTGCATCCTTATCGTGCTTTCTTGTGATACGGGTCGACTGTGTGAGCACTCCCTCTTATGTACTTTTTTGCCCCGCCTTTCCGCACTCCTTACCATCTCGAAGGGCGGAGGCAAGCTCCTCTCAGCCAATTGGCTCCCGCCGGACCTGCGGCTCCCCTGTGAGCGGTTCTCTTCCGAGGGGGGGTACCTCGTGCAGGGAAGACCTTCGGCATCGCCCCGGCGGGTGCATTTTTTTGCCGACAGGGCGCCTCGGCGAGCATGCTGGGACATCTTGCGAACAAGTGCGCGCACGAAGCCGAATTGTGCACGGGGAATGGACGTCCGAGCGGTGGCACGGCATGAGACAGATGTCTGGGACCTGTGCGGAGGGGTCGGGGGGGACCTGGGACGGGAGGGTATGTTGCAGCATCGTTGCTACATCCTGGTCTGACTCCGGTCCTCCTCCTCTTCCTCCGCCCCCCCCCCCTTGCTCCTCTTCCTCCTCCTCCTCCTCCTGCTCCTTCCCTGACCCTGGGCGCCCCTCAACCCCCCTGGACGTTTGTCCCTGGAGAAGAGGCCTCTGGGAGCCAGAATCTTCAGGAGGCTTAAACGCTGGCGGCGCGAGTCTAATCTTCGATCCCCGATCGTCGTGGGCAATCTCCTGGTGGAGGAGGAAACAAATCTACGACGTCCTGATTTTCCATGCCCTCGCCGAAAACATAGCTGGACCGACATTGTGACCGACTTTGAAGACAGTCGTGGTATCCAAGGTCATTGGTTGGTCGCAAGTGGGCACAATCAGGCGCAGGGTTCGGCCACGCCCAGTCATATTCTCGGACCCGCTGTCTGTCACTCTGCGGCCAGCTGACAGTGGCGAGGCTACGCGATATTCTTTTTCAGCACGGCGCGTGGTTCCCGACTTCTCGGCTTATATTGAGATGCAGGGCCTAATTGTTCAGGTCACCGTATGACTGCTGGCAGGGCCAACCAGGTGTATACTCAACCACAGACCTCTGGAGGGCCGAAACAAGCCCGAGACAGCAGCCTAGCACTCGCACGGTCAACAAGACAACCAAGCATCACTCGGCGACATGCACCAGCGCTGCTGTCAGCCAGAGCTGGCTCTGCGATGCCGACCCGCCAGGCGCGAGGATCTGGTTGGGGGTCCAGCGAACAGGGAATGGTGCACTAGATCTGGTGCAACAGATTTGTGGAGTTGCAGTAGATCTGGGGTGTGCAGTACACTGTCTGGTACGCAGATGTAGTGCTGGATCTTCGCGTGCAACGCATTCGTCGCAACACAATGCAATCCAATTCTCTGGCGCAAGACACTTGCAATACAATGACGGTGGGGGCGTTCGTTAAGGAATGTGCGAAGGAGGCTTCAGACCCTGGGGGATTCCTTATCTGGTGAGGTCGGCAGTCATATTCATGGCCAATCCACGATTGGTGTTTCACCAGCTTCCAGACCCTGGGTTGCTTATCCAATGGCTTCTTATCCAATACCCTCACCGTACCCAAAATCTATTGGACCCCCTGTTGGGGTCACGATGAGAGGAGCTCCGTCCCTCCTGCGCAGATGCCGGGCCCCTGTCTGCGCTCCTCCCTCCGCTGCCCCTGGGGGGAGGGCGCGCCGCGCTGGGCCTACTTGGGGGCCCAGGCTCAAACAGACAAGTGTCTCAGGCGGCAGGCTCCGGACCGCCTCCTCCTCGTCCTCCTCGTCCTCGTCCTCGATCTCGTCCTCCTCCTCCTCCTCCTCCTCCTCCTCCTCCTCCTCCTCCTCCTCCTCCTCCTCCTCCACGGGCTGCCCTGGGCCTCTCGATTGCGTCGTCTGTGCCCTCGGCTTTTGCGTCTGCACTGGCCGTGTCGTGCGTGTGGGCCTGCTCCCAGGCACGTCCGAAAGGTCTATAGGTGATCTGAGCGTCCTTTGGCCGTCCCGCGGCCTTCTTTATCAGCGCCCCTGGCCCGCCTGCGCCCCCGTGCCTCGATTCGCAACGGTGCGTCCCGCCGTTTGCTTGGCCGCCTCTTGTTCCCAACTCGCCGCAGACGATGCATCCCTCCACGATGCCCCGCATCCGGGCGGGGCAGTGGCGGGCTCCAGGAAAAGTCTCGCATGGAGCGCGTCTCGCCTTCGGCGGGAACACACGAGGACGCAGGACGAACTGGAACGGCGGCGGGGTCGCCGGCGGAAGCCGGCGAATGGTCGGCGCAAGGCGATGACGGTAACAGCGAGACGTACATATATTTGGATTCAGGGGTTCGGAGTCGGCAAGAGGGCGCATCGACTGCGAAACCAGCTTCTCAGGAGGTGCCGCCTGATAGGCCTGGGGGCACCCTGGGGCACCTTGCGAAGCTCAAGATCAGTGCAGGGCGTGCTTCTGATTGTAGCGAGCGCAGGAGGAGGGGGAGGAGGGGAAGGAGGGGGAGGAGGGCGCGAGCGCGGCCGCCCGCCGCGCGAGGACGACCTGGCCGCCACCCTGCCGCAGCTCGGGCGGCATGCGCTGCCCGCGGACGCCTGCGCGGGGCGGCCCGCGGCGCAGCCGCCCCGCGGCGGCGGAGGCTCGCCTCCTGGCCTCCCAGCACCCAGATTGTCCGCCCTGGGCCTCCCCAGAAGCAACCTCGCCTTCCTCCAGGTCCTCATCTGCCCGCCTCCTCCTTCCCCTGAACGTCACGCAGGGGGCACTCCAGATCAAGCAGAGTATTGCGATTAGATGTTCAGGCTGAGGCACTGAGACCAATCGACCCCCCAGCAATCCACGCATCCGTCCATCAATCCATCCCAGGATGGACCCCAAATAGATACTAACCTGGGTTTATAATGTTCTGGGATTTTTGACCAGGGTTCATGATGTCTCGCCCGGGACATTATGAACCTGGGTTTCAATGTTCTGGGAATATTGACTGGGGTTCATAATGTTCCCCCCCGAAACATTATAAACCCTGGTTTATATTGTTCTGGGGGTATCGACCCCAAAAACATATCAACCTGGGTTCATAATGGTCCGGGAATATTGACTGGGGTTCATAATGTCCCGGGAATAATGAACCCGGCTTTCGTATTTCTTGAATGATAGTAATTATCATTTTCCTCCCCCCCCGGGTTCCCCACCAGGTTTTTCATGTCGCAATAGGGGGCCCGGTTTATCATCTCCAGTTCATAAGTGTTTCTGGCATGTTGACCCCGGGTTAATTATTCTGAAATGCTAATGATTGAGCCTGGGGAGCGCCGTTTGAGAGTGCGTTCCAGACTGGAGTAAACCCTTGTCCATAATGTTGGAATATTGAAACTTAGGTTGATCATTCCAGGAAGATGATGATTCGGCTGGGGGGGGGCTGAGCCTGATCCATTCACAGGGTTATCGTCCATAGGGCATCATCTGAAGATAATGAACCTAGGTTTGCATACCTAGATTAAAAAAAAACACGGTCGACGAGGATTTCGCACCTACCCTCATCCATCAATCCCCCTCACCACGTCCTGCTCCTCCTGCCTCGCTGCCGCCCCCGTCCTGCCTCGCCTCTGCGCCCATCTCGGCGGCGCCCCCGCTTCGTACTGGCCGCCCCCACCTCCCTTTCCACCCCTCCCTCCTCGTGCGAGCCGGGGGCTCTCCCCGCCCTGCCACCTCAAATCCGTGGACGACTTGCGTGCGCAGTGCCGCGATGGCGTCTCCCGAGGCGTCGTCGATCCTCAGCCCGGGAATGGTAAGGTGCATAGTTTTCTCGGCCCTCGCAGCCGAAGAACTGTGCATCGTACCGCGCTGGAGCAGGGCCTGAAGGGATCCAGATTGAGAACAACACAGCCCCCCAGCCAGGACCCGCACTCCTGACCTGGTGATCCATGGGGTCCTAACTAAGGGTGGTGGTGGGTTGTGGTGCCCTCACAGATGCCATCAGGGATGCCCACAAAACGCGATTGTCCTTCCTCCCTTCTCTTCCCACCTCGCTTCCTTTGTCCTCCTCCTCCCTCCCTCCTGTCTCAGCTGCATTGCCGATTTGTTGTTCAGGCCACGGTTCAGAGCATGAGCTTGCCTATTGCAGGTCGGCGTGTGCGGTGTTCCCAGTCTGCCTAGCGACCTTTTGCTTCGCGATGTTCGCGATGTGGTTGTGTCACCCGCTGGGTTTTGCGCGAAAGAAAACCCGTGCCCATACCCATACCTCCAACGTGTTGAACATAATCAATGCGGAGGTTTCTCGCCCCTGCAGGCCTTTTGGGGGTCCTCCCCTGCCCCCCAGGACCGTCCACGAACGACTCGGGATGAACCAGCAGCCGGGAAAGGATCGGAACTTCCCGGGACTTCCAGGAATTCTCTGGACCTCCGGGGCGACCTCCGCCGCCTCCTCCACCTCCTCCTCCTCCTCCTCCTCCTCCTCCTCCTCCTCCTCCTCCTCCTCCTCCCCCTCACCAGATCGCTGACAGATCTCCGATGATCCAACCTCGACGACGGCCCCCGGGGGCTGCTGTCGGGCCGGGGGACAATCAAACGCGGACCGGGGGCGCCAAGCCGCCCCCAGGGACGCTGTCGGGAGGTGGTGTGGTGTATGTTTGTGCGTGCACGTTAATGATTGGTTTTCTGGCGTATCTGGCGAGAACAACACTTTCACGATTGTATGATCGTAAACGTGTATGCTCAAGCTCGTCCTGCAGGAGCTTGGACTCAGCGCCCTTCCCCTGCGGGCAGTGCATGTATCACGCGCCGCAGCTGGGGTACGCCGCGCTGGGCTCGCTGGTCGCTTCGTCTGTGAGGCACCCGACTTGCGTGTGCGACTGCACGCCGCCCGCGCCCGACGAGGGCGTCCTCGAGCTGCTGGGTCAGCAGCTCCAGCGGGGCGGGCCCGAGCGGCTCACCGCCTGCCCAGAGGCTGCGGCCTGCCCTGTGGCGCCTGAGTGCCCTGGGTTGCTGGGCCCCTTGCTGGCCGCCGTCGCCGGCGGCGCGCTGGTGGGGTGTGTGCTGGCGGTCCTCGTCGTGGTGATCCTCGGCGTGGGCGGAGCCCGGCAGCGGGCACGGGGCGTGGCGGCTCTCCAGGGGACCTCAGCGTGCCCGTCGATCGAGCCGCCGCCGACGGGCGGGGAGCCACCCGCGGCGCTGTCCTTGGAGGAGGAGGCCCGTGCGCAGCTCAAGCAGGTGCGGGCTCGGCGAGATGGAGCATCCGTTCGCTGAGCACTTCGGCCTGAGGGAAGGGGACTTCGCGGCGGTGGAGTACAACTGCAGGCCGCGGGACTTGCGGCACGAGCGCTGCGTCGTCCTCCTCCCCGAGGGGGAAACCGAGCAGATGGGTGTGGTGACGCTGGACGGGGACTGCTACCTGGAGACGTGGGCGTTACCAGAGGTAGCTTCGTGGACCCGCCTGCCCAACGGCTCCCAGGGCGGAGATCTTGGGGACCCGAGTCTTCGGTGCTACCGCTTCCGCCAGGTGCCGTTGGCGCAGGAGCTGGGGCCCAGAGGGATGCCTTGGCGCGCCAATGCCGACTTCCCCCGCCTGGGCTGCCGCTGGTGCCGAAGGTCGGGCTGGCGATCGCGGCCTTGGCGGCCCCACTGCCCTTGCCCCCGCAGGTCGAAGGGCCACCGGCGCCCCGCGGAGAGGCAGGGGCTCCGGCTGGCGCCACCGTTGGCGACGGGCTGGGCGCGGGCCGACCTCCAGGCAGGTGGGTGACCGCCGAGGAGCGGCATGGCATTGCGCGGCTGACCCCCTGGGAGGCCCCGCCCGCGGCCTGCGTGGTCGGCGACCGCGCCCTGGTCCAGCACGCGGGGAGGCCGCTGGTGCTGATGCAGGTCGGACGAGGCGGCCCGAGGGCTTGCGGGTCCAGAGCGGGGCGCCACGTCAGCGCGGGGGCCCCCCCGCGAGGAGGATGACGACGACCTCCGCGCGCTGTCCGTGGTGTGGGATCGGATGAACGAGCGACGCCGCACCTGGGAGAGCGTGGTGGAGAACCTCAGCGAGAAGAGCTTCACCGACTGGCCGCTGATGGGGCCGCGGGCGGCCGTGCGGCTGTGCCGCCACATCCGCCTCATAGGCGGGGGCCCGACGGCCTTCTCCACGCGAGTGGTGCGCGACATGAAGATGGCCGAGAATGATCGAAGTGCCCACGAGCTCGAGTTGCTGGTCAATGTGATGGAGCTGGCGGGCACCGTCGCCAGCTGAACATCGGCAACCTGGCGTGCATGGGGCTGGTGGGCAGGGGGGTCCAGCTGATCATGGGCGCGAGCTCGGGCGGTGGCGCCGCCGTCTGGGAAGGCTCCGAGCACTTCATGGGCCTCGGGCGCAGGGCGCGAGGCATCGCCCCGGCTCTTCAGAGCCACGTGGCCGCCAGGCTCAAAGACGAAACAGAGGTCGACAAGCAGCGCGACAAGGCGCGCGAGGCCCGCAAGCTTCGTGGAGGGAAGCCTGGCGGCGGCAAGGGGTAGCTACAGGAGGAGTGGGGGGGTCGCCCGACCCTCACTCCAGTCGAGGGCGAGGGGCCAGACGCGTCCCATCTTGGCGCATAGCGACGCCGTCTTTTTTTTATTGTTTTCCGTCTTCAGTCGCGGGCCTGAGATGGAGCATGACTGGGCTAAGCGGGGGTGCGATAGTCTGGGCTCTTGGTTCTCAGGCGAAGTCTTCCCGCTTCAACGTCCAGGTGTCGAAGCACTGCCTCGTTTTGGTCTCTCCCGAAGCTGTGTTCAGCGGGTGCAGGCGCGCAGGCGACATCAGAGGGTAGTGAGAGAGGCGTGCGAAGCTTTGAACTGGATGGCGGGCGCAGTGCCGCCCGCGGACGGAGGGCCCACTCGCGAGGTGCAGGAGGTCGTGTGCAAAGACGTAGGCTTCCTTGCTTCGCACTACGCTGACGCCGCTTTTGCCGTGCCTTCTGAAGCAGCTCGCTCGCTTCTCCGGCGCAAAGTGGGCTGCGGCCCGTCTGGCAGCCCGGCACGCCCGTTCGTGAAGGGCCTCGTGTCGTTGCCAGCCGACGCAGCCGACTGCCCTTTGGCAGCTGAAATGCTGGGCGAGCGAGAGCGTTCGATGATCGAGCGGCTGCCGATTGATTTTCTCTGTGATGAGGAAGAGATGAGGTCTGAGCCTCCAGTGAAGCCCTACATGGGCCCCCGGCTCCGAGGGGGTAGTCGGGCCTATGTAGATGTCGTTAGAGAGTTGCAAAGTATGGGCATAGTCACCTCGCGACGGCAGCGCCGGGCAGAGTGTGCCATGTTTGTTGTTGCGAAGAAAGACGGTCGGCTCCGTCTGATAGTTGATGCGCACGCAGCAAATCGAGAATTCAGGGGGCCCCCGGGAGTGGCATTGGCCACAGTCGAGAACTTCGCCAGCGTCGAGGTGGGGCCCAAAGATAATCTGTACATATCTAAAGGGGATGTCTCTAACTGCGTTGATAGGCTCGGCATCGACGGCCCTCTGTGCGATTTTGTTGGTCTCCCTCCTATTGAAGCTGGGGCCCTGGGGATTGGACTTGTGGAAGGGGCCTCAGTGGCCCAAGACGAGTTTGTGCATCCGTGCCTCAGGGCATTGCCGATGGGATTTACGTGGAGCTTGTTCTTCGCGCAGAGGGCCGTGCAGAACGCCGTGTATAAGGTGCCGCGCCTATGCCCCGAGAATGCCCTCGAGAACCGCTCGTGCAACACCGTTTTCGACACCAAGGGGATGAGCCTGGCCCATTACGTATCTGTTGACAACGTCGGGGTCCTGGGTTTGGAGGCAAACGAGGTTCAGCAGGTCCGGGAGGCCGCGACCAGGGCTCTGGGCGAAGTCGGATTGGTCACGCGCGAGCTCACCACATCTACTCATGTCGACGAAGCTCTCGGAGTGGTTATCGACGGGGCAAGGGGGGTAATGCGTGTAGGTGAGAGACGGTGTAGTCGTCTACGCGGAGCTCTCCAATTGGCTCTGAGCAGGAGGAGATTGAGCGGCGCACAGTTGGAAATGCTTGTGGGTCACCTCACCTTTGCATTCCTGATGCGTCGCCCGCTATTGTCAGTCTTTGGGGCCACCTATCGCTTCATCCGTCATAACTATCATTGTGAACGGACGCTGTGGCCGAGTGTGTATGCTGAGCTGGAGGCCGCCTACCGTATGTTGCCTCTGTGTGTAGCCGAACTTCGCCTGCCCTGGAGCCCCCAAGCTTTCGCCTACGATGCGCGTGCCAGTGGCATGGGGGTGGTGCAGACGGAGTGGAAGGAGGCGCATGTGCAGCGGATGGGGAGGTTGGCGGAGCGTTTCAGATTCAGGTACGCGGGTCTTGGGGGACATCGCGATCGGGCCCTGGGGCTGGCTGTCTTGGACCCCTTCTCAGACCCTGTGACGGCGATCGGGGCCTCCTCCTCGGGTTGCGAGCTCTGGGAGGAGGGCCCAGTTTTCGAGGGCGTGCCGAAAGCGTGGATTCAGACGTCTGTTTGGGAGCATATCTATAGTGGGCGTTCTCGGAGACTAGAGCCGGTTCATGTGAAAGAGTGCCGTGCTTCCCTGTGGTGCCTGAGGCGTTTCTGCAAGGCTCGGTCAGGACGTGCGATTCGGGTTCTTCTCCTGGGCGATAACCTCAGTACCATTTTGGCTCATTCAAAAGGTCGGGCAACCAGCTGGCAACTGCTCGCGCTTCGTCGAAGGCGATGCGCTCTCCAGCTGGGCCGCCGACTCGTCGCGGTTGATCGCTGGATCCCTTCGGAGCTCAACCCCGCGGATGCAGCCAGCCGAGTCTTCGAGAGGCGAAAGTTGCCGAGAGACAATGCGTCTGACAATGGTCTCCCTCGCCCTGGTGAAGCCGCTGGAGGACGCACTGCGGGCGGGCCGGGTGCCTGTGGCGCGGCCAAGCGCGGAGCCTTCGGCCCGCCGCCTGGCCTCGACGCCCCTGCCTGGCCCGCCGCCAGAGGAGCGCGTGCTCCTGGCAAAGACGGCGGGCCAGCCAGCGAGCTCTGGACAGACGGCGGAGGCGCGGAAGGCACGCGCAGCCGAGCTGGACCGCTGGCAGACGTGCTTCGCCGCGGGCCTCGAGTCCGACGAGAGCTTCCTGGTGAGAGGCGCCGTGGTCGAGGGCACCTACCGGCGATGCACGGAGCGCGCGAGAGACTTCTAGAACCACGTCGGGATCCAGAAGTGGAACGAGCTGAGCGACAAGGACCTCGACGCCCTGGTGGCCGCCCGCCTGGAGGAGATGTTCTTGGAGGGGGCCGCCAGCCACCGCGGGAGCTACCTGCTGGCGGCCCTGGGGGCCTTCTCACCCGCGCTGGGGTGACGCGGCGAGCGGCAGCTGCCGCGAGCACGGCGCGCCCTCGTGGGATGGCAGAGGCTCTGCCCAGGCCACTCTCGGCCTCCCCACGCGTGGGCGGTGATGCGCGGGCTGGCGGTGTGGCTGCTGCAGCAGGGGCCCCCTCTGATTGGGGCTCTGGTGCATCGTGACCACCAGCCTGCGCCTGCGGCCGGGAGAGAGCCCGGCGCTGAGAGGGGTGGATTTCTCCCCTCCAACAGGGCGGAGCTCCCCGACCTGGTCAGTTCTGATCCGACCAAGGGAGCTCAACATCCCCACCAAGACCGGGGACTTCGACGACTCCGTGCGGTGGGACGTGCCCGAGTTACAATGGGTGACTTGCTACTTCGAAAAGTGGCGGGCGGCAGAGGAGACAAAGGTGTGGACTTTCGACTGCAGCGACCTGGCCCGAGAGATCCGCCACGCCGCCAAGGCCCTCGACATCGACGACCTGGTGCCCTACTCCATGCGGCGCACAGGGGCGTCGTGGGACGTCGCAGTGGGTCGGAGGTCGCTGAACGAGGTGCAGAAGAGTGGCCGTTGGAGGTCCCGCCGCAGTGTCGCCAGATACGAGAAGGCCGGCCAGGTCTCAAAAGGGTTTCCTCAAGCTGCGGCCAGACGTGCGACGGAAGACGCAGTGATGCGAAGCAAATTTGGAGCTGGTGTTCAGCAGGGCCGTGAGAGGCCCCTGGTGATGCTTGATTTGTTTGCCGGCGTGGCTCGCGTGTCCCAGGCTTTGTCGGAGCTCGGGCACGTCGCAGAGATTTTTGATTTCAAAAACGGGCCAGCCTTGGATATTTCAGACAAGCACGTCTTGAATCACTTGCTCCACACAATTCGGCGCAGCTCTTTTGATGGCGTGATGGTGGCCCCATCGTGCGCGACCTTCAATATCGCCCGTCACCCAGCCCTGCGTCTGGCCGCCTGTCCTTGGGGGATCCCCGAGGCTGCAGAGCACCCACAATTGGTGCAGGCGAATTTGGTGACGAGGGCCGCTCTGCGGGTGATGCGAAGCTGCTGGTCTCGCAAGATCCCGTTTGCCGTCGAGAACCCGTAGACCAGTTTGTTTTGGAAGCTGCCAGGGTTTGGCCACCACACATCCAATAAGAAGAGCTACCTGATAATTACCAACCTGTGCCAGTGGGGGGCCCCATGTAAGAAACCGACCACCGTCTGGTTCGCTTTTTTCGACGAGTCCTTGACCGAAGTTGATGCCCGACGCTGTCATCCTCGAGGTTGTGTTTGCAGCCGATCCGGGAAGCCCCATGTCGGGCTGTCTGGGAAGGTCCCTGGCGGGCCCTGGCGTACGTTGATCGCACAAGCTTATCCCAAAAGGTTCGCGGACTTCCTTGCTTCGGTGTTTGGCAACCAACTTCGATATGATCGCTTACGCAGGTGGAGCTGGCCAGCTATAAGATGGGCTTCTCCGTCTTCTACCTGGGCCCATCGGCCCTCAGTGCAACGCCGTCGAACAGAAGGATTCCCTGCCCCAGCCAGAAAAAGAGATCATGTTTGCGCGTGCGCGTTAATGATTGGTTTTCTGGCGTATCTGGCGAGAACAACACTTTCACGATTGTATGATCGTAAACGTATATGCTCAAGCTCGTCCTGCACCCACCGTCCATCCCCCAACAACCCCCAGCCTCTCTCTCCTCTCGCGCTTCGCTTGCTCAGGAAGTTTTGTCTCTTCCAACTCACCCATCTACTTTGGGTGGAGCTGGCTAGCTATAAGATGGGTTTCTGTGTCTTCTACCTGGGCCCATCGGCCCTCAGTGCAACGCCGTCGAACAAAAGGATTCTCTGCCCCAGCCAGAAAAAAAGATCATACTTTAAATCCGCTTCCCAGGGGAACAGCGAAAATTGTATACACTAGGGCCCCGTGTGCACCAGGGTTCGCTTTCTAATTTTCGAATTTCAGTGCAGGGACGGAAAAGCGTCGGTGTATAGAGTTCGGTTCCCTAGTTTCTAGCAGCTGCGCCTCGCCGACAGCGCTCTGGGGGTGTCTGGATGGTCCCGGGCGGCTGCTGGCGACCCGAGCCAGGGCCTGAAGGCCAGACCTCCTCACGTCATGAAGGAGAGCGCAGCGGCAGGTCTTGGGGCAGTTTTCAACCTCTGGGCCGTTGCCAGGGCCCGGGGCAGTCAAGCTCCATTCAGGCCCCGCTTCAACGCGCTACGGTGCGTAGTTGTTTCTATTCAAAGGGTCGCACAACTAGCCCTCCCCCGCAGATCTCCCTCCAGCCCCCCCAACCAACCTCTTCCACCCGCCCCCATCCCCTCCGTCTCGCCGGTCGCCAGTCGTCGGGGTGGGGTCCGGGGCCGGTCGCCAGTCGCAGGTCGCCGTTCGCCAAGCGCCGGTCGCCAGTGGCCCAGGGCAGTCAAAATACGATTCGGGGCGAGAAGCTGGTCCCTGGGAAGAGATTCCAGGCAAGTGGGCAGCCACGGTGTGAGAAACTCAGGACGTCGGACGTCCGGGTCATGCGATGCTAAGGGGGGTCAGAGGGTCGCTAGCCCTCCACCCCGCCCTCTGCCCCCATGTCGTCCCGCCGGCTCCCCGGTGCGTGGGGCGTCAGTTGACCTCCGGTCTTGGCCGAGCACATCCTGGGCCTGGGATCGGTGCACATCCTCTTCCCTCTTCCTCCTCCTCCTCCTCCCTTCTCCTTCTCCTCCTCCTTCTCCTCCTCCTCCTTCTCCTCCTCCTCCTCCTCCTCCTGGCGCAGCCCGAGGCCAGTTTTTAGGGCGGACCGGGCGTCTTGCCTGAGACTTCCTCACAACTATTGATTCTGAAGATTCAAAATTGACGACAGTTTCACAGATGGAGGGCGAGACGTTTTCAACATGTGGCTCTCGCCTTATCGCCGCGCACATTCGTTAAACAAACATTCCAAGAGTTTCACGGATTGAGGGCGAATCGTTTTTCTAATGTGGTTTTCCTTTCAGCGCTGCGCGCATTCCTTTGTAAGATGTGCAAGCGTTTTACGGATTGAGGGCGGTTCCTTGTCAAAATGTGGCTCTTGCATTGGTGCCGCGCACATTCGTTTATACAATTTGCAAGAGTTTCACGGGTTCCTGTGATCAAAGTATCAGACATGGTGTTTCGGAAGGATTCAGGATTATGCGGGTGCAGCAGTTACGTTCAGTCGCAGGGTTGAAGTCCCAGGAATGGCGTTCTGGCACGATTCAGGATTGTCAAGACGCACCAGTCAGGTTGAGCCGCGGCGATGGAATCCCGAGAGCAATGTTTTGGCATGTTTCAGGGTCTTCAAACGGTTTTCCTCCAACGGGGCAGTTGCCACAATGGAAATCCCCCGTGGTAGGGGCCTATGAAGAGGGAGCTGGGGGGGAGGATTTATTCCAACAAAGTTGATGACTCTTGGGTTTTCACTGGTCCTCATCCTCCTCCTCCTCCTCCTTCTCCCTCCTCTCTCCTCCTCCCTTCTCCTCCTTCTCTCCCCTCCTTCTCCTCCTCCTCCTCCTCCTCCTCCTCCTCCTCCTCCCTCGTCGTCGTCGTCGTCGTCGTCGTCGTCGTCGTCGTCGTCGTCGACGTCGCCCCCCTGCGGAGGCTCCGGCGCTGGCGCCGGCGCTGCGGCGTGGCGAGGAAGCGCCGCCGCAGGCGCTCCTGCATGGGAGGGAGGCGCGGGGGAGGCAGGGCCCTCCTCCTGCTCCTCCTCCCCCTCCTCCTCCTCCCCCTCCTCCTCCTGCGGCAAAGGCTGGGCCCGCCTGCGGCAAAGGCTGGGCCGCCAGAATCCCGCGGCTGCCTGGCCTGTGCTGCAGACGCTGACGGGCGGCTGGACCACTCGCGAGCGAATGCACCTATTCGGACCGCGCCCATGCATCTTCGGCTGCCAGGCCACGGACTCTCAGTACCACTCTCTCCACGGCTGCGCACGCATGGAGGGTGCGCTTCGTGCGAGTTCCGAGCGCTCGAGAGATGACGGCCTCCTTGCCCGGCTGGGCCTGCCCATGCCGGAGGTGAGAGCCACCGATCGCCAGATCGACCTGGCCATCTCCGACATCAATGTCGTATTCCACATCTACAACGAAGCGAAGGAGTTCGACTCCGTGGGCGCCTCGCAGTTCGAACGCACCGTCCGAGTGGGCCGGGCCGCCGCCTCCCGCGCCTGCAGCATCGCGCCGCCAGCCGCGCCTTAGCGACACGTGGCGCGCCAGCAGTGCCTCAGCTCCTCCTCCTCCTCCTCCTCCTCCTACGCTGACCTCGGGGTACGCTCGTCTCCTCCTTCTCCTCCTCCTCCTCATCATCATCCTCCTCCTCATCCTCCTCATCCTCCTCCAGCTCCTCCTCCTCCTCCTAGTCCTTCTCCTGCTCCTCCCTTTCTCCCTCCCCTCCTCCCGCGGCTGCCGTTCTGGACGCCCTCGCGCCGTGAGACAACACTAGGCTTTGAGGGGTTCGTGGAGATCCAACCTAATCGGGCGAGGAAACATCCGTTCCAGAGCGTTCTGCAACGCTCTCGGAGTGTTCCGAAACGCTCCCAGAAGGCCGCGGCGCCCGATACATCCTCCAGAGCCGTCGGATCTCACATATTCTTGGTTTATACAACCCCGAATTGATCCTCGTCTTCGCTTCGTCTTACGTGCCTGTTGAATAAAACAAGATGGAGGTTCTTCTTTAACTTCGGCTTCTAGAGGCCCTCGCAGGGCCCCCAGACCGTCAAGAAACGGCTCGGGATGAGAAGCTGGTCCTGTGATAGGAGTCCACATGCGAGCCCTACCCCACCTCCCCACGATTTCCACGGGGGGAGATGGGGTTCACTTCCTTCGGAAGGTCCCGAACGAAGTGAGCCCCACCTCCCCCCCGTAGAAATCGTGGGGAGGTGGGGCAGGGCTCGCATGTGGCCTCCTGTGTGAGGTGCTCGGCGTGCAACTACTCCTTCTGGCCCTTGCCCTGCAGCATCCTCTCCAAGGGATTCTGCACGCGCCACTCCTGGGGCCCTCGAGGAGGAGGCCCTATCCGGGGCACGCTGCCCGGGATGTGGTAGAAGTTGGTGAGTACCGCGTCGGTCGGGCACGGCTTGCCCGTGAGCATCAGCCAGCCCTGGACGAAGAAGGTATGCTTGGTCATCTCCGCGCCCCCCTTCTTGTGGAAGGCTTCCTTCACGCGGCAGTACTCGATGAACTCGGCTGCCATGTGAACGCCGAGCTGCTTTACGTGCTGGATGAAGCTGTTCATTCCCGTCAGCGCCTCGTTGTACGCCGCCACCGACGTCAGCTGAGGCAGCGCCACCAGAGCCTCCAGAACGGCCTGGCCCACGGTCAGGCTCGGGGGGCCGTGCGGGTGGTCGCTCTTGTCCTCGACCTTCTCGGCAAATAGGCGTCCGGCTGCGATGGCCGTGGGTTTGAGCCTGTGGTCCTCCAGGTGGCAACTGAAGTGGCACCCCTTCAAACCGCGCACGCGCTGCGTTGTGCTGAGCCACTCCTTCATCAGCTCCTCCGCGGTGTCGTCGTCTGTGTCATCGTCGCCCATCGCCAGGTCTTCCTTGGACGTCCTCTCTCGCTGGCCGAGGATGACGTGACCGCCAGCGCGCAAGGAGCTCTCCCTGGAATCGGGTCTGGCCTGCTTCGCCAGCTCCACTGCCTCCGACGGGACCTGGAGGACCCAAGCCATCGATGTGTGTACGAATGTGGCGCTGCAGCTCCGCTAGGGCCTAAAATGGCTGAGAACATGCGGTGCAAGAGAGGTCTGAGAGGCTCCTGCACTGGATGATTGTATGGGCAGCGATCGGTGGTGCAGCGGGATTTCTTGAGCAGTCGACGGGTATGCTGTGCTGCGATGTCGCGCGTGGCGAAAGTATATAGTCACCATGCGCAATGATTAGTAATCGTTAGGAGCCTGCCAAGCGATGTATGCCCATGTGTCCCACTCTTTGTGAATCGCATGTGGGCGTACCACGCGCGCCGTGAATCGAATTGTAGTCCACACGTATTGTCCGTTATCGCATATTTCACGGCACCGCCACGACACAGGGGGGGCGGGGGAGGATTTTCTTGGACATCGACGTCGCCGATGATGAGGAGGAGTAAGAGGGTGGAGGAAGAGGGTGGAGGAGGAGGAGGAGGCGGAGGAGGCGGAGGAGGAGGAGGAGGAGGAAGAGGAGGAGGAGAACAAGGAGGAGGATACTGAGGAGGACGAGGAGGAGCAGGAGGAGGAGGAGGAGGAGGAGGAGGAGGAGGAGGAGGTTCGAGCTTCGGGGCTCCCGGCCGTTCTCGTTGAGGTCAGGACGCTGAGACACGGACCGCTCTGGGCTCAGCATGGGCTTTGGTCTTCGGGCCGTCCTCAGATGCTTCGGTGGCCGAGGCCTGCCGTGGCAAGAGCCGCCCCTCCGATCCCCCTGCAGCGCTTCTTCTGGCCGCATGCGGCACGCAGCTTCCTCGAGGAGGAGGAATACGGACAATAATACGACTAACAAGTATGAGAAGAAGGGGAGGAGGAGAAGGAGGATAACGAAGAGGAGGATACTGAGGAGGAGGAGGAGGAGGAGTAGGAGGAGGAGGTTCGAGGTTCAGGGCTCTCGGCCGTTCTCGTGAAGCTCAGGACGATGAGATACGGACCGCTCTGGGCTCAAGAGGGGCCCTGGTTTTCGGGCCGTTCCTCAGACTTCGGTTGCCGAAACCTGCCGTGGCAAAAACCGCCCCTCCGTTCCCCTTGCAGCGCTCCTTCTGGCAGCATGAGGCACGTAACTTCTTCGAGGAGAGGAGGGGGAGCAGGAGGAGGAGGAGGAGGATGCGGAGGAGGATGATGATGAGGAGGAAGAGGATAAGGAGGAGGAGGAGGAGGAGGAGGAGGAGAAGGAGGAGGAGGAGGAGGAGGCGGAGGAGGACTCCCAGCCACGGGCTGCTCTCCTGCAGCCTCGCCTCGTAGGCACCCGTCCTTTTCCGAGTGCCCGAGTCGCCCCGCACGGCTGCCAGAGGGGCGCTGTGGCTGCCCTGACCTCCTCCCGCCGCCGTGGGAGAAAGTTCACGATCGGAAGCTTTCCTGGCCGGTTTCGGCCTCCAGTGGCCCCCTCTCCACAGGCATCCGACGTTTTTTGTTTTTGTTTGTTTGTTCGTTTGTTTTGTGCGACACGTTGTACGATGCTTTCGTCGAGTTGTCCAGCGAGGAGGGTGAAGACATCATGCTCCGGGAGTGCCCCGACTTCAATGAAAGCTTGCTGATAATCCTTCCAAATAATGCCGTGGACCAGACAGCAGACGGGACCGAGGTATTTGAGCCTTCGGAGTGAGCCCTCTCAACATCACCAACGCAGACAACCGGCTACTTGCAAGCGCGGGCCGGTTGGTTCTGGAACCTGTGCTCGGGCCGCTCATCACGGAGGTCCAAAGAGGCTTCATCACTGGGAGATCAGTTCTTGCAAGTTTGATCGACGTCGGCGAGGCGATGCTCCGCGAGGCCGCGCGAGCCGAGGGAGCGTACGCCGTGTTCTTCGGCTTCGCGGCGGCGTTCCCGTCCATCGAACACGCCTTGTTGCATGGGTTCTTCCAGAGCTTGGGGTGGCCGCAGTGGTTGCGGCGTTTCATTGCATGCTTATACCGCAACAACTTCTGCTTGATATCACTCGGAGGCACAAGACAGGCTGGATTCGGGATCACGAGGGGCATCCGACAGGGGTGCCCGCTGTCACCGCTTCTGTTTGCGGCTGCCTCTGACCTCATGCTGCGCAGATTGGCACGTCGTTTTCCTCGAGCGCGCTCCCGTGCGTGGACGGACGACCTGGCCATGGTTTTACCTTACGGGGCCGCCCACTTGTCGGCGCTGCTCACGTTTTTCGACGATTTCGCGCTGGTGAGCGGGCTGCATTTAAACATCCCGAAGACAGTGTTGGTGCTCTTGGACCCGGGGTCGGACGAAGCAGTCCGCGACGCTCTGCGCACAAGGGCGCCAGGGTGGGGCGGCGTCCTCGTCGCCTCGTCGGCCAAGTACTTGGGGCTGTACGTCGGGCCAGGGCGAGGGCAATTCTTTTGGAGGGCACCAGTGGAGAAATACATTGCCCGGGCGCGATTCTGGGGGTCCCTCAGTGCTGGCGCGCTGACGACTCTTCGCGCGTACTGGATCTACGTGGCATCGGTCCTCCTGTTCGTGGGCCTACTCGAGGAATTGCCCGGTGACTTCGGCGAGAGCGAAGAAACAGCTTGCAGATCACTGTTCCGTGGCCCTAGAACCTGGGTGTCGCCCGGTTGCCTCAAAGAGTTCAAGGAGCTGGGATTCCCGGACGAGCTAAAAGACGTCGCTTCCGCCGCGCTGGCGGCCAAAGCCAGAATCGTGCGATTCGAGGCAGCAGGTGGCTTGCGCGTTCACGAGAGGGCCGCAGCACTGAGAACCTTCGCGCAATCATCTGGGGACGCCAGAAGCCTGGCGCGGACAGGGTGGCTGCTGGATTGGATGGAGCAGGGTTTTCTTTTCCAGTTGCAGCGAGCAGATTGGGAAGTTGCGCGACGGGCGAAATTGCGTGGAGAGGCGAACCTTCGCTTAGATGTGCGCGCGGGCTGGCAGAGACGGGTGGCAGCCATGCTACCCAGTCGCCCGCGCTTGGCTGCACAAACCCATCTCCGCAGCAAGCTCGACGAGTGGGACCTTCAAACTCTGCCTGGGCACCGGCTGGCTAAGGTTGCCAAGGCGCTGAAGATTCTTTCCAATAGCTGTCATCCCCGGGTGCTTGCAGCTTACATCCGCATGCTGTGCACCGGGTGGTGCACCAAACGTCGCTTTCGGTCAGGCGGTTGCTGCAGGTCGGGGTGCGGGGCCCCCAGCATCGGCCGCATGGCGCGTTGTCCGGTGGTGGCCACGTTGTTCCAGGAACACCTACTTTGGTGGCCGGGTATTTGGACGCCTTTTTCTGTCTGGAGCCTGCTCGAGACGTCGTGCGTGGAGTTCAGCTGGGCGGCGAGGAGGGCTGCGTTTGGCAGCACGGACTGGGAATTTATTCCGTGTGTAGGTTGCACAACCCCTTGCAGACAGGCGCGGCGCAGCTGGACGATCTGAGCGGAGCGTTTCGGGGATTCGTTCGCGAGGGCCGCCTCGGGTCTGGGGCAAGCCCATGAGGGCGCGCGCTCGCCGCGCCGATTTTTCCAACGAGGCGCCGCACGGTCTCCGGCAGCGCAGCAGATTCCGTGTCTTGATTTGTCTCCTCCTCCTCCTTCTCCTCCTGCTCCCTCCGCCTTCCCTCCTCCCCCGCCGGGGGCGGTCCTTTGCCTTCCCTGGGTTTATGGCCCCCCCGTGCGGGGTGTGGCGTCCGAGGCAGCGGGCAGTGCGCAGATGCATACCCGCGCAGGCCGCTCGCTCTGTCCTCCGAGCGCGGCCGAAACTGAGGGTTTCGTCTTCGATATTGTTTCTGTTGCCTGTCCTGGCCGCGTGGCCGATAGTGCACACTCTCAGAGTCCAGCTGTGCATCGTGGCCGGGGGCGGAGTATCGTGCAATCGTGTCCCGTGCCGGCAGTGGCACTTCGCCGTTTCACCCCTCTTCCTCGCCTCCCTCTCTTCCCGCTTCTGTGGGTATCTCTGCCCGCAGTGTTGCATGTCATCCGTATGTGCGTGAATGTAGCACGCCCCTGAGCAGGCGGGGAGGGCACGTGGTGATTCATGGTCTTTGCCACCTCCAGGGCAACCATACGGGTTGCTTTTAAAACGCTTTTCCTTCCTCCTGGCTCTGTTTGTCTTTCTCTTCCCCCCAACCGGGCGAGTTCCGGTGCGCGCCCTTGAGGTGTGCGAGCCGTGCCTTTACTTGGCGTTCGCGCCGGTTGCATAGGAACGGAGGCCATAACCGGCCGCCCGGAATCGCCGGCCGCCCTCTCAGAGGAGCCGCCCCGTGCCCGCGCGCAGCGGTGTGCCTTCCTCCTCCCCTTCCTCCTCCTCCTCGTCCTCTTCCTCCTCCTCCTCCTCCTTCTCCTCCTCCTCCCTCCTCCCGCTCCCGTTTCACGATATGTACAACTTAGCGCTGTCATTGCGCCTTCGGCTAGATAAAAACCGAGGGCAGTTTATATCAGTATTTCTCGCAGCACCACGCCCTGGCTGATTTGTTCTGTTCCCCTCTCCCCGTCCTTGTCCTCCGCTTCCTTTCCACCCTTTCAGGTTCGTTAGCAGTCAGGGCGACTTCGCAACGAATGCAGGCTCAGCTGTTTGTCGGATTGCCGGCAGCCGTGGGCGGTTTCATTCAGGAGTGGTGCGATTGATTTTGTCCAGACTCCACTTGCACGCCTTCGTAACCCGAACTGGCGCGTTTGATATTTCCTAGTTCGCCTGAGGCGTCTTTCAGTGCTTCCCCTTCTTCCTCCTCGTCCTTCCTTCCTCCTCCTCCTCCTCCTCCTCCTCCTCCTCCGCCTCCCCCTCCTACCTGAATGTGGTGACGTTTACCCTGCCGGCCACTTTCGACATCTACAGCTATCTTCGTTGGGTGCGGTGATAGCCCCCTCGAGGGGAAGCGGATCTGCCGTCATCACGTCCTGTTGGGCTATTTCCGATTCGGGGTGGCGTGGCCCCCGGATTCCCCTGGCACGATATGCGAGATGGACAGCAAGCGGGCGTGTGCGCTGTCTCCACGAACAAAAGGTTTGTTTGTTTTGTTTGTTTTGTGTGTGTGTGTGTGTTTTTCCGCGCTATGGTTCCCCAGAGGTCTGCACCTCCTGCCGGGGGCCAGGGTCTGGCCCTGGGCCGGGCAGGCCGCAGACGGGCGCAGCGGGGGAACGCGTGGCTCGCGCTCTCCTGCCATTCGCTGTGTCGTGTTCGCGCGATCCATTTCGCAGGCAGGAGATGTAGACAAGTGTGGTCCGTGATTTCCTACAATTTGGTTCCCAGCATCACCGTTATCCAACATCGCCGTTAGCCTGGCCTTGGGCAAGGCCCCCAGGGGCCGAAAACGGTCAGCACTTCCTGTCGTGTTTTTTTTCAACGACGCGGAGGATGCCAGGGCCCGGACCCCAGAACCGTCACCACGAATGGCTCAGGTTGGGAATCCTGGTCCCGGGGAAGGGGTCCAGACCTCTAGTCTAGACCTCCTAAATGGGGTCGGAGTAGATGGGGTCGGTGGATCGCGCCGCATCGCCGATGCACCGCCGATGCGGATCGATGTGGAGCCCGATTTTCTCCACGCCCACGTCGTCATGCATCGCCGACGTCGACGATGCATCGCTGGTGCGTCGCCGATGCATCGCCGATGTATCGGCGATGCGGCGCGATTTTCCGACCCCATCTAAACCGACCCCGCCGACCCCATCTAGGAGGCCTCTATCTAGGGAGCTGTGAACCCATCCGGGCGTCGGACATCTGAAGGTGACGGTGGGCGTGAGCCAGGGGTGCAGGAGAGTCGGGAGCGGGGTCGGCAGGCTTCTCTCGTTGCTCCACGCCTCCTTGGCGCTCGTCCCAGGACTGAGGGCCGTGAAACAAATGCCCCGAAACAGTTTTTTCGGGGGGGGGGATCATCAAACGTGTATGCTTGAAGTGAGCCAGCGTGGCGGCAGTGCCACGGACTCGGCACGCCTGGTCTAAATATTCTGCCTGTCGGCAACGCGCAGAGCGTGCCCCATGCACAATGGAAAGCTGGCCCCGGGGAAGGCCCCCAGGTCCAGGACGCTTCTCTACTCCCAGGCCCCGAACCCCCGACGTCGTGATGTTTGTTGCGACGTGGCTCCCAAGAGGTCCGGACTCGTTCCCGGGAACACGGCTTTGCATCGTGCGTCGTTCCTCTCGAGGGTCCAGGAGCGCAGTGAGGGCCCCTGGAGGCCGAAGCCTGCTCAGTGCCTCCCGTCGTAATGCTTCCCACGACGCGCGGGCGTCAGGTCGAGACAGGGGCGGCGAGGGCCTCCGACGCCTCCGCCGCCCAGCGGGCGACACCGCGGGCTCTGGAGGCGGTGGGGTGCCCGTGCGCCCCGTGGCGACGGCGCGCGAGGCCCATGGCGTGGCGAGCCCTCGACCCCTCGACTTGAGTCGGGTATGTCCCTCTACAGGAGGATTTTTTTTTAAATAGAGTTATTTAAGTATAGCAACATTTTTTGAGTTATAGATATCTCTCTATATATAGACATGTGTATATATATATATATATATATGTATATCGCGTACTTTTTGTTTTTCGCTCAACATCCGCCTGTTGGGGGACATGCCTGGCCCAACCCTCGATCTTTCCCCTTCTCGGCGGCCCGCGCGCGTGGCCCCTCGCCGGGGCCACCCTCCCGGGTGCGCCACGGGCAGGCGTCGGCGGCTCAAAGGTGGGGAGTCCGGGCCCTCGGGACGAAGTGCCCCAGGCGGTGCAAGTTCAACCCTGGGTCCCGTCCTCTGCGTCTGCCCCCCTCCCTCGGGGCGAGGAGGAGGAGGAGGAGGAGGAGGAGGAGGAGGAGGAGGGGCCCCATGTTCGTCGATGATCCCCAGGGCGTGCAATTAGCCCAAGCGTGCGTGTGTGTTTGCCCCATCCGGCTCCGCCGATCGCGCGAGGCCAGTGTCGGCCCTCGCTGCTCCGCCTGCGTCGCATGTGAAGGGCCTGGGTGGACAGGTACGGGTTGGCGCTGACGCTCGTGATGGACCAATTTTCTACCACCAGTATCATAGGTGGGACTCCTCCTCCTCCTCCTCCTCCTCCTCCTCCTCCTCCTCCTCCTCCTTCCTATGGTAGTGGGGATGGAACGAGTTTGAACCGCCGAAGACGGCGCCACCGCTCCCCGGCAGGGCACGGGGGCCACTTCGGCGCCTTCCCCGCGGACCCCTACGCTGTAGGCGCCGCGCGCCCCCGAGAGACCCCCCGCGAGTCTGCCGCTTGCGGCCGCCGCCGCCGCGTCGTCGGCGTGCTCGCCCAGAGGTCCTGGCGAGGGGGTACTTTGGGGAACGAGGAATGACAGAAACATCATCAACACAACAACTCGGAGGCCCGCGCAGGTTTCTCGGATCCGCGCTGGACCCCCCTGGCGGCGCCTCTGGCGCCGCCCCTGGCGCGCGCCAGGCAGGGGGGTCCAGCGCCGATCCGAGAAATCCGTGCGGACCTCCGAGTTTTTACGTTTAATGGCATTCTTCGCTCCCCTAGTATTTTCGAAGACACCAGCGGCGAGTCACCGCTGCCCCCTGCCGTTGGGATGCGCCTATGAGGAAGCACGTGGGGGAGAAAGAATAAGAGGCGGAGATGGAGGAACAAGGTGATGATGATGATGATGATGATGATGATGATGATGATGATGATGATGATGATGATGACGATGACGATGACGATGATGATGATGATGATGATGATGATGATGATGATGATGATGATGATGCTGATGCTGATGATGATGATGATGATGATGATGAAGATGATGATGATGATGATGATGATGATGATGATGATGATGATGATGATGATGATGATGACGATGACGATGACGATGACGATGACGCGGATGATGATGTTGATGATGCTGATGATGCTGAGGATGCTGCTGCTGCTGCTGATGATGATGATGATGATGATGATGATGATGATGATGCTGATGCTGATGCTGATGCTGATGCTGATGATGAGGAGGATGAGGAGGAGGCGGAGGAGGCCTCTTGCGAGTTTCTTGGGGCCCTCTTTGAGCCTCCTGGGAGCTCCCTGGGTCACCCTGGGAGACTTCTTGGGGGCTTCCTTGGGCCTTTTGGCAACCTCAGGAGGCTCCTTTGGATACTCCTTGGCCGTCTGAGGGTGTTCGTGGCTCGTCAGGAACCGTTCTGGTCGCCTCTGGGCCAAATTAGCGGCCCTCTTGGGAAGCTTTGGGGCCGTCAGGCCCTCTTGGGCCGTCAGGAGGCCATCTCGGAGGCCCCTTGGACGCTCTCAGGGCCATTGTGGTGGCCCTTGCGACCCTGCGGCCAGCTCGGGCAGTCGTAGAGCCGAACATGAGCAAACGCCAGAGTCCTTCAAACACATACAAACACATACTGAGCATTAGCGATTTTCCCCTCTTCGGACCTTCCTGAATGGCTCTTGAAAGCCTCTCGGGTGCGTCTTGAGCTGTCCTTGGCCATCTTGATGTCATCTTGGGCCGTCTTGGCTGTATCTTGGGCCGTCTTGAAGACATCTTGCGGCCATCTTGGGCTCTCTTGGGGCCACCTTGGACGTCATGTAGGCCATCTTGAGCGTCTTGGGGGCTTCTTGGCCGTCTTGGGCTGTCGGAAGGCCAAAGGAGCGAATGCCAGCGCATCCTCATTGATTTTCTTTACTCGGGACTTCCTGCAACATCTCTTGGAGGTTTCTTTTGCCCTCTTGGGGGCTCTTGGGCCGTCTTGGGCTACCTGGAGGCCAACTTCGGCCATCTTGGCTGCATCTTGGGCCGTCTTGGAGACATCTTGCGGCCATTTTGGGCTATCTTGGGGGCTTCTTCGGCCGTCTTTGAGGCCATCCTGGGCGTCTTGGAAGCCATCGGGGACCGTCTTAGGGCCGTCGTGGGGGCTTCTTGGGCCGTCATGGGGCCATCTTGGAGGCTTCTGCGGCAATCTTGAGGCGAACTTGGGGGTCTGTCTGGCCGTCCCGGGCCGTCGGAAAGCTGAAAAGGCGCAAAGGCCAAAACCTTCAACACACGCAAGGAAGCTCCATGACTTTGACCTCGTCGGGCCTTCCTATAGGTCCTCTTGGGGTCCTCTTGGAGGCCTCTTGGGCCGTCTTGGATGCCTCTTGGGGGCTTCTTGGGCCGTCTTGGGCCGTCTCGAGGCCATCTTAGGCCAACTTGGGTGCATCTTAGGCCGTCTGGGCCACATGTTCGACCATCTTGGGCTCTCTAGGGGCCATCTTGGCCGTCTCGGAGGCCATCTTGGCCGTCTTGGATGCAAGCTTGAGGCCATCTCAAAACGAACAAGAAAACGACGGGAGGGGGTCGCCCAGAGATTTCTGGGTGGCCCGCGGGCTGGGCCGAGACCCCATTGGGAGTTCGTTAGAAAAGAACCAGAGACTTGCCAGACATTCGGCACGCTGTGCACCCCTGCGGCAGGACCCATTGGGGACGGCGGATCTCATGGTCTTCGGTCCATCCCGTCACCGTGCCTGAGTTGTGGGTCTGAGGCCTCTTTGATGTTCGTTGCGATCTCGTCGAGGTTTCTCGGGGGCCTGCTGGAGGCAGTTTCGATGTCTCTGGGTGGCTGTTTTGGGGCCTCTTGGGGCTTCTTTTGCGCCTCTTGATCGTTGCGAAGGCCTCAAGGCTGGTGCCGCCGACCCCGAAGGCCGACGACGACGGCGACGACGACTCTCGCGAGCCCTCGTGGGGGCCCGTGTCGGCCTTGTTGGCCTTGGGGGGGAGGGCTGAGGGAAAGGGGGTGGCGGCGACGACGACGACGACGAAAACGGTCCTGGCGAGGAGGGGTATGACCTCTCTAGCCTTTGCCTGCGCGTTGCAGGCTGCCCCCTGGACGAGACGCTACCGCTGTGGCGTCGGGTGTGTGCCAAGTCCAGTGTGTGCTAGCGGTCTCCAGATGCCCCCAGGGGTCGTCGTGGTCGTCGTCGTCGTCGTCGTCGTCGTCGTCGTCGTCGTCGTCGTCGTCGTCGTTGTCGTTGTTGGACGCGGAGGAGGTGCACGAATGCTCGAAGAAGATGGGGGGCAGAGGGGGATAAGATGAAGAAAGTGGAGGAATGATGATGAGGAGAATGAGGAGGGCGAAAAGAGGTGGCTAACGAAGGGCGGGGAGACGGACGAGCACAGCAATCAAATCATGGGCCTGGCGGACCCCGTTGAGATATGCTTACTTGCATGCATTTGCTACCCGTGTTTCTTGTGTTTCGGTTGTTTTCTCCCGTGGCCCTTTGGCTAAGGCCATTTGGCTTGAGCCCCTTGGCTCGAGGAGGGAGAAGTCGGAGGAAGAGGACGCGGAAGAGTTGGAGGAAGATGCACATCAAACCCTAAGGGTACCTCATATCGGAGACTCCGACGGCGAATCACCGCCGCCCTCTGCCTTTTAGAATGGCCCATGTGACCGAGCGTTGTGGCAAGAGCTCTGCCAAGCTTTCGAACCACGTGTTCCCCTAGCCGTTCTGGAAACCCTTCGGGGAACACTTAGGGGAGGATGGCAGGGAAGACCAGGAGGAGGAGGAGGAGGAGGAGGAGGAGGAGGAGGAGGAGGAGGAGGAGGAGGGGAGGGAGGAGGAGGAGGAGGAGGAGGAGGAGGAGGAGGAGGAGGGAGGAGGAGGAGGAGGAGGAGGAGGAGAGGAGAGGAGGAGGAGGTGGAGGAGGAGGAGGAGGAGGAGGAGGAGGAGAAGGAGGAGTAGGAGGTGGAGCTGCTGCTGTTGCTACTGCGTATGCCCCTGGATCTGCTGCCGCTGATGCTGCTAGTGCTGCTCTGGGCGCCCTCAGAATCATGAAGCTAACAGTGCACCCTGAAGCAATAGCAAGCGCTCTATGGCCACTGGCATTAGTGTTCGGTAGTTCACAGGTCGGCCCTAGTCTTCTTCTCTGTGTATACTCCAGCACGGGAATCTATGCGTGCGAAAAGAGGGCCCGGTGGCATCGGCCCGGCTCGGCCCGCTGCGGGCAGGCTCTCGGAGCCCCCGGAGGCCCCCAAGAGGGCCCGAAGACGGCCGAAGAACGTCTAAAAGGGGGCCTCCGAGACGGGCCCGGAGCGCCCGAAGACGCCCAAGACAGCCGCCCAACGGCCCAAGAGGCCACCAAAATGCTCCAAGTGGGCTCCAGAGAGATCCCCAGGAGAGCCCGAGCAAGGAAAAATCGTCCCAGTCCTTAGGGGAAACGCGCATTTCAGGAGTTCCCGTGCTTGCCCTCTTGGGGACCCCTGGGGGCGCTCTTGCGGCCCTCCAGGGCCTTCGGGCCCCTCCAAGACAGGGCCAGGTGTATTCTGCCACAGAACGGCCTCTTGTGGCAGAATGGTGGGCCCGCGCCCGGCGGCGTCCTGGGGCCCTCTGGGGGCCCTTTTCGTGCCCTATGGCACCACAGCCCCAAGACGGTCCCGATACTGCCTCAGGGACGTCCGAATTGTTCAACTTCGATGAGCTGTTCACCCACGGTGGGCGAGTCCCAAATTCAGCACACTGTGGATTTATTCCACGGGTTCACCCTAGTCAGCTGCAACGCTGGGATCACCGCGTACAAAAAGAGCGAGCAGTGGGAGCGGGTTTTGGCGCTGCTCAGCGCGATGTCGGAGTCGAAGCTGGACCCCATCGTCATCAGCTAGAGTACTGGCATCAGCGCTCTCGAGACGGGCGAGCAGTGGCAGCGGGCTCTAGTGCTGTTTGGCGAGATGCGGGAGGCGCATCTGGAGCCCAATGTCATCAGCTATAGCGCTGGGATTGGCGCGTTCGAGAAAGGCAGGCAATGGCAGGGGGCTCTGTCGCTGCTCATCGATATGTGGGAGACGAAGATGGTGTCGAATGCCGTCAGCCGCATCGCCGGGATCCTGGCTTGCGAAAGAAGCGGGCAAGCTCAACGGGCGTCTTGGATGCTCGGCGAGATGTGGGATGCGAGGTTTGAGTCCTTTCAGCTTGATTCAATGATGCAATCATTATTGCGATGCGCGGTTAAGCAGAGCAGGCTCAATTACAATCCTCAGATCAACGCGTGCGGGAAAGGCAGCTAGCTGTAGCAGGCTTTTTGGATGGGGGGAAGCGTCGATGGAGCCCAATGTCGTGAGCTACCACGCTACGGCTTGTGCGCGCTAGAATGACAGAAACTGGTAGCAGGCCTTGTTGCTACTGAGCGAGTGGGGAGGGAATGCGAATATGTAGCCAACATCATCGGCTACAGCTCTAGAATTCTTGGAGTTGGAGCACGCGAGTTGGCCGGGTCGTATCACCACATGCAGGTCCTCTTCGGGAAGGTGCCTTCGAGAAGCTTCGACATGGACCTCACAATTGGCTATGGACTCGTGGCCAGATGGTGCGAGCAGGGCATGCACTGGATCCGGGTGCTTACATTGTCCGACGAGGTGCGATGTCTAACTGCGGGGAGGTGATGCGGCCAGTGAATGCGCAGAGCGCTGTAGGCAGCCAAGGATCTCCTCGCGTCTCGGCGACAGTTGGCCCGCAGAGCGGAGCCGGAAACGTCCACGAGAGCCGAAGAGACCCACACGAGACTCCAAGAGGGCCCAAGATGCGCCGAAGATAGCCCAAGAAGGCCTGGGATGGCCTTCCCAAAAGGCTGCACCACAGCTTCAGACCGCCCCGAGATGGCCACAAGGCCCTTCAGACGGCTCGTGTCGAGGCCCCCAGGCATCCCAAGATGGCCTGGAGAGGCCCGACGAGGAGAGCCCGACATGGCCCCAAGAGCATTCAAGGTAGCTCCAAGGTGGGCCGATCGGTCCTCCTCCCAAGGCCATCGACATGCCTAGCAGCGCGCGGCAGCGCAAAGCAGCGACCGCCACCGAGCAGCAGCATCAGTACCAGCAGCACCAGTTGCCCCCTCCTGGGAGCTCGCCGTCTGACATCTCGTCACCAGCTCTTGCCCACGGGGGACTTGGCCGCCATGGCACCGGAACGCGCCGCCGCCGCCGCGGCGCTCGTTTTCGCCCGAACGGCCCTCCGGGGCTCTCGGGCAGGAATTGGAAGAGGAGGAGCAGGAGGAGGAGGATGAGGAGGAGGAGGAGGAGGGGAAGGAGGAGGAGGAGGAGGAAGAGGAGGAGGAGGAGGAGGAGGGGGAGGAGGAGGAGGAGGAGGAGGAGGAGGAGGAGGAGGAGGAGGAGGAGGGGGAGGAGGAGGAGGAGGAGGGGGACGAGGAGGAGGAGGAGGGAGGAGAGGAGGAGGAGGAGGAGGAGGAGGAGGAGGAGGAGGAGGAGGAGGAGGAGGAGGAGGAGGAGGAGGAGGAGGAGGAGGAGGAGGAGGAGGAGGAGGAGGAGGAGGAGGAGGAGGAGGAGGAGGAGGAGGAGGAGGAGGAGGAGGAGGAGGAGGAGGAGGAGGAGGAGGAGGAGGAGGAGGGAGGAGGAGGAGGAGGGAGGAGGAGAGGAGGAGGAGGAGGAGGAGGAGGAGGAGGAGGAGGAGGAGGAGGAGGAGGAGGAGGAGGAGGAGGAGGAGGAGGAGGAGGAGGAGGAGGAGGGAGGAGGAGGAGGAGGAGGAGGAGGAGGAGGGAGGAGGGAGGAGGGATGAGGGAGGAGGGAGGAGGAGGGAGAGGGAGGAGGGAGGAGGGAGGAGGGAGGAGGGAGGAGGGGAGTGAGGAGGAGGGAGGAGGCGGAGGAGGTGGAGGCGGAGGAGGCGGAGGAGGTGGAGGCGGAGGAGGAGGAGGAGGAGGAGGAGGAGGAGGAGGAGGAGGAGGAGGCCTCTTGGGAGCCTTTTGGGCCACTCTTGCGGCCTGCAGGGAGCTTCCCGGAAGCCTTTTGGAGGATTCCTGGGGGCTTCTTTGGGCCCCCTCATGGGGCCTTGCGACAGCTCCTCTCGCGAGGCCTCATGCGGCCTCCCTCCCTCCACCCGCCCACCACCCTCCCCCCAAGGCGGGCCGCTGCCGGTGGATATCGTCCCGGCGAGCCGGGTGAGGAAGCTGAGGTGCTGCTGCTGAGCGGGCCCTTGCTGCTCGGAAGCGGGCGCACCAGAGCGGGTGGACAGACGCCGCCTCAGAGGGCGCGTAATTGGGGGGCACAGAATGGGGGGGGGGAGGGGGGGGCAGCGAGGGCTGCCGAAAAGGAATCCTTTCGGGCCCCAAACGGGGCCCTTTAGGCACCCAAAGGGGCACTTCTAGGCCCCCGAAGGGGTCACTAGGACCCGAACAGGGCACCGACCTCCCCCTCTCATATGCTGCCCTCCCATGGATTCGCGCCCAACCGCCGTCGCTACCGCCACCTCCTCTCCGAAACAGAGAAAAGCCAAAAGCATAGACTTTTTGAGGTTCGCGTGGGTTTCTCGGATCTGCGCTGGGACCCCCTGGCGGCGCCACCGACGCCGCCGCCCATTGCGCGCTCCGCGCGCCAGGAGAGGGGTGTCCAGCAAGGGTCCAAGAAATCCCGCGCTGACCTCTAACAGTTTCTGCTTTTGCAGTTGGTTTGTTCCACTGCATTCAGAGCTCATAGTAAGGATGATGAACTTTCCAAGGTGACCCTTGCACCCTTTCCTTCGGCTCATCCACGGGGAACGGACGTCCGAGCGATGGCAAGTCTCCTCCGCCCCGTCATCGCCGCCCTTCCATTTCCCCCGTCCCCGACCTCGCGTCGTGGAAAGGCATCTCGGGGGTGCCCGAGGCCCAGGACACCGTTTTTGGTTCCCCTGCCTGTCCCCCTTCGCCCCGTCCTCGCCGTCCTTCCCCTTCCCCCTCCACTGACCTCGGGGGCGCCCAAGGCCCCGACACCCCTGGCGTCGTGGAGGGTCACTTCGGGGGCGCCCGAGGCCCAGGCCCTCCCTCGCGTCGCGTGCAAAGCACGAGGGGAGGTTTTGTTTCGAGTAGTGGCGAAGCGTCCTGGCATGCCAATCGGCCCACCGAAGAATGTTCTCGAGTTTCGTGCGGTCTGCACGGAGTGCTCTTAGAACACGTCTCCTGTCTCGTTTTGACACACCGGGGTTATGTTCTAAGAACATGGTTTTTGTCCATCGAGAATTTCTGGGTTCTCAGAACATGTCGTCTTAGGCCTATAGGAATGCGGGGACGGTCGGTCCCTGTTCAATGTTTGGCAGAGTTCTCAGTTCCAAAGAATAATATGTATTGCTCCCCCTGCGCGGTGCCCATTTTGTTTTTTCCCGCTCACGAGCCCCCTCGAGAACCTCACTCGTTTTTCGCAAGGGAAGGTCTTGAGCCTAATGTTGGCCCACTGGCCCCCTGTTTACAACTACAGCGGCTCCCGCTTGATTTTTCCTGTCATTTTATTCAAAATCGCGCTCTCGAGCGATACATCCTCACACTTGAATTTCCTCACGGTTTGGATTTCCTCACGCTCTCGCCTTGGATTTCGTCACGGTTTACTTGGGAATCGAGTTATCGCTAGACACTTTTTCGCGATTCATGCTGGAGTGACGCTTCAGCGACCCGCTCGCTCGACCTGGCCGTCTGGGCCCCTCCGCCCGACCCGCCCCGCCCACCCCGCCCCGCCCGACCCGCCTCTCTGCTTCTGCCGCTTGTTTTTCTGCTCCTAACGCCCCCTCCTGCTAATCTCTGTCGTGCTCCATCCTTCTCTCTCCCCGTTGTTCCTTCCCTCCTCCCTTCTCCTGTTTTACGTGCTGCGCCAACGCCAACTTCACGTGGCAGGTAAGGAAGATATACCCCCAAGGGGGGTACGATCGAAGACGACGAGGGCGGGTATCGAGGGTTCGGTGACACGCGGTCACATATAAACGAACAGTCTTACAATGCTTGTTGTTGTTGCTGCTCCTGATGCTGTTATTGCTGCTATTGTCGTCGTCTGCGGGTCCTTGCTGGGCCCCGCGACAGTCAAAATATGATTCAGGATGGACTGGACCAGGAAGTGAGTCGAGACCTCCGGGGGCCCACGAATTGAACCAGTCATGACGTCTGACATCCCTTGCGTCGTGAAATAAACACGGTGGGAGCTCGGCTGGCCGTTTTTTCGGTCGCAAGGGGGCCCTTGCTGGGCCCTGGGGCCGTCAAGGAACGACTCGGGATGAAAGCGCTGGTCCCGGGGAGCGTGTTCAGACTTTTGCGGGCCAGTGTGAACAAATCACGACGCCGGGTTTCTGGATCGCCGTCCCCTCGCTCCTCCCTCCCTTCCTTCCTTCTTGGTCTCCTCGTGTGCCTCCTCTGCCCCCCCGCCCACCGTCCTGCGTGCCCTCTCGTTCTCCTCCTCGTCCCTGCCTCCTTCTCGTGCTCCCCGTCGTCCTTCTCCTACCTCCTGCAGGCACAGAGCAGTGCCCGCTTGTGTGCTGAAGCGTCCTGGTCTTCCTCCAATTCCTCCTCTGCCCGCCTCCTCCTCCCTCCCCCTCCTCCCCCCTCCCCGTCCTGCTCCTCCCGCCTCACGGTCGCCCCCGTCCTGCTTCGCCTCTGCGCCCTCCTCGCCCGCGCCCCCGCTTCGTGCTCGCCCCCCCCCCCCCTCCTCACCCCTCCCGCCTCGTGCGAGCCAGGGGCTCTCTCCGCCCTGCCACCTCCAATCCGCGGACGACTTGCATGCACCGTGCCGCGTTGGCGTCTCCCGAGGCGTCGTCGATCCTCGACCTGTGACTGGTACGGTGCGGCATCGTTTCTTTGGCCCTCAGAGCCGACGAGCTATGCACTGTACCGCGCTGGAGCGGGGCCTGAAGGGAGTCCAGACATGGTACGGTGCATGTGCGCCCGTCTCGCATCAAGAGGGCGGA